TGCAAGCTCTAGTAATAAAAGTCAAGGAGCACAGTGAAAAAATGGGACTAAAATTAAATATGGAGAAGATCAAACTAATGACAGTACAACAACCAGTTTTAGAAATTATAATGAACATACCACAGTGGTAGATAGCTTCTGCCTCTTAGGATCAACCATCAATAGTAAAGGAAGAAGCAGTCAAGAAATATGCTGCTCACTAGCACTTGGAACAGTAGCTATGAAGGCCTTGGAAAAGATATTCAGATTGTGTAATGTGTCGATACGTACAAAGATCAAAATAGTGCAAGCCATGGTATTCCCTGTAACACTCTATAAAAGTGAAAGTTGGACTGAAGAAGCAGAATAAGAAGTGCACTGATGCTTTTGAACTTTGGTGTTGGAGAAGACTCCTGAGAATACCATGGACAGCCAAGAAAACAAACAAATGGATCATTGAACAAATCAACCCAGATCTAACCCAGAGTTTCCGCCCCCCAACCACAAATGACCAGGGTCAAGTTATCCTATGTCAAACATGTTAGGTGAAGATCTAGCTGTCTAGAGAAGTCTGTAATGCTGGGAAAGGTGGAAGGAAAATGAAGAAGAGGATGATCAGCAGTAAGGTGGATGGGCTCAATTACAGGGCAATGGGTACACTGTTGGAAGGCCTGAAAGGCCAGGTTCCAGAAAGATTGTCATGGAGAAAATCTATCTATGTGGGTGCCAGGAGTTGACATTGGTGCAGTAACATTTTATAAACTGACTCTAGAAATTCATATTTTTCTAGTTTACAGGAATTTGTATTTGATATTAAACCCTACTAATATGTAGATGACATTTTAAGCATAGTAGTTTGCACTTAAAACCACCAATTATCAGGCATGTAATCAAATATACTGCTAAATATGACGTTTTACAAATAAATAAATAAATACAGTTAAATTTCCAGCTTATTATATTTTGAACCAAGCCCAGGACCCTTTTTAAAACTACAACTAAAACATGTTAACTACTATGTAAATATTGTGATATTCAACTCTGCAGTTCTTATAGTACATTACATGCACTTACCCTGCAAGCTTTAATATAAAATCATTATTACTTGAGAAACTTCTAGAAGAAATTGTTTGGTGGCCTGAATACACGGGGAAGAGACAATAAAAGTAGAATTTGCATTTAGAGGGAGTAATTCCATGTAGTGATCTTGAAATTCGTGGACAATTGGACTTACACTGTATGTGTTTATAATAGGTTTGAACCCCAAGGAGGCAGTAACCATACTTTTCAAAAATTGGGCAACCAAAGCACCACGCAAGTGATTTCAGTTTCCAAGGAAAACCTGGATGAACACCAGTATCTTTTCTCCTGTGAATGGATCCCAATTTATGATAAATATGTACATTCATATGGGATACTTATACTGTGTGTAACCAAGCTACTAATCTACAAGTAGGCTAGTAGATTATCAACCTTGAAGTATTCAGCTTTCTAAGAATGAAATGTGTAATGACATTTTTAGTGATGAGTTGTCATAACTTCATACTTTTTGATACATACAATCTCAAAACAAACTTCCTCCATAAGGAAAAAAAAGTATTACTAATAATTAAAAGCACCTTTAGCCTGGCTCACCATAAATCATTTTATACCAGATTCCAAAATTGTGCTGTCAGAGCAATGCTGTAATTTCCTACACTGACAAATCTCTTTCAGTACAAGAAAAGCAATCCACTGAATGGCCAATTATGATGTTGCTTGCTCTTTAAAGTGCACAAAAACAAGCCAGTAAGGTACAGCACATCAGCTATGAGCAGCAAACAATTTTGAACAATTGCTCTCAAGGGAAGGAAGGAAAATAACAAAAGATTCCAGAAAACGGTCAAGGAAGCAATGGTATACTATTTCTGGAACCACAAGGAAGGTGTTACAACATTCAGACAGCAGTAAGAAGTTATCATTGTTTGTGAGTTGCCAGATGTTAACGTGTTTTCTTTTTATATATATAGTAGTAGACAATATATATTAGTAGACAATAGTATATAGTAGACAAGGACCAGAAGACAACAGTGGTGATAGATGTAGCAGTGCCAAGTGACAGCAACATCCGGAAGAAGGAGTATGAGAAGCTGGAGAAGTACCAGGGCCTGAAGGAGGAACTAGAGAGGATGTGGAAAATAAAGGCCTAAGTGGTCCCAGTGGTGGTAGGAGCACTCAGGGCTGTGACTTCTAAGCTGGGAGAGGGGCTCCAACAGATCCCAGGAACAACTTCAGAGCTCTCTGTCCAGAAGAGTGCTGTGCTAGGAACAGCTAAGATACTGTGCAGAACCCTCAAACTCCCAGGCCTCTGGTAGAGGACCCGAGATTGAGGAAGACACACACCACCCATAGGGGTGAGAGGGGATTTTTAAAAAAAATTATTAAAGGAAGAGTGCTGTGCTAGGAACAGCTAAGATACTGTGCAGAACCCTCAAACTCCCAGGCCTCTGGTAGAGGACCCGAGATTGAGGAAGACACACACCACCCATAGGGGTGAGAGGGGATTTTTAAAAAAAATTATTAAAGAAATTTTTAAAAGAATAAAAGCAATACAAATTTTGAAAAAGAAAAGCAAGGAAAGGAAAGTAATAAGTAAGTGAAAGAAGAGAAGAGAAGAGAAGAGAAGAGAAGAGAAGAGAAGAGAAGAGAAGAGAAGAGAAGAGAAGAGAAGAGAAGA